AAACTATCCTAAATAGAAAACTTTATATACTGCTATACAAATTCATTTTCACAGGTGTATGGAAGTACATACAACAATCATTCGGCCGAGTTTTAATCCGTGCAAATTAAAACGACAGATGAAAATGCGGATAGCCGATATTTTTGGGCTCGTTATAAAAGTGTAATTTTCTGTACTTTTTAACCCAATTGCGACAAAGACAAATGAGTTCATTATAAGCGATAATTCCTTATAACTGTGTTCGCTATAACCCAATATTTATATTAAAAAAAGAAGGGCAAAATTCGGGCCAAAAAATTGTTCCTTATAACCGGAAGTTCGCTATAACCGTGTTCGCTATAAGTGAAGTTTACTGTAAATGATTTTATTTTGACTAATGTAAATTAAATATAATTGAAAGCAACACATTTTTGTCAAACGTTTGCCAATTGACACCAGTTTAAGCAATATGCAAACCTCGACACTAAAACGTATTAAAATAAAAGATCCCGACGTTCCAGAAAAATAAATTAATATTGAGTTTAGGTATGTGGCAGCTTAGAAAATCATTTAAAATCTGCCAGAGTCAGTATTCAGAAAAGGGTTAAGGTAAGTCTGTGACAAGAACAAATTGTTGTACGGAATAACCAGACGCATTAAATGGATATCTTAAAGATATCGCTTACCTGAAACTGTGGAAGATAAGTTTTAAACCTGTCAGACTGTTGTTTGATTAGAGCACCAGTCCTGGCCATGAACACTACCTTCTTTTGACCTTAATAACATCATGTGTAAAATGAGTCAATACATACATTGCACTTTGAATCAAGAGCTGTCACTCAAAAGTGACGGATGCCCCTGAAAATGTTTCTTAAAAATTGCAGAAAGGTATTTTAAAAAGAAAAGAGAATGAAAGTACCCTTTAACTGTAAAAATGACCTTGGAGGTAGAGACATGGGTCTAGAAACTCGACATGTCGACTTCGTGTGGTAGACATATATGCTACGTTGTTTAAAAATCCTTTCCTGCACACAAATGTGCCTTTAAACTTTACTTGTGAAAATATGAAACCTTCAAACCTTAAGTGTGACCTTGGCCTTTGTTTATAACGGACATGGGTCTTAAATGAAACACATCACCATGATGTGTTTGACTTCTGTAGCATTTAATTTGAAAATCCTTCCATGCATGACAAAACTAAAGTTTGGACACAAATGTGTACTTTCAACCTCTAAGTGTGACCTTGACATTTTAGGTAGTGATATAGGCCTTAACAGCGACACATTGTCTCGATGTGGTAGACGCTTGTGCCAAGTTATTTAAAAATCCTACAATGAACAACAAGATACAGTCCGGACAGGAATGTGTAACATCCTTCAAATTATAAATTTGACATTGGCCTTGTAGGAAGGGACATTGGTCTTTGACTCGACACGTCGTCTTGATGTAGAAGACATTTATGCCAAGTATTTTTTCAAATACTTTTCCGCATGACAAAGTTACAATCCAGACAAGAATGTGTGTACCTATTAATTCTAATTGTGAAAATTTGAACCTTTAAAATGAAAGTGTGACCTTGACCTTTGAAAAAGCGACATGGCTTTTGGACTCGACACGTCTTTTTGATGTAGCAGACATTTATGCCAAGTATTTTTCAAATCCTTTAAGCATGACAAAGTTACAGTCTGGACACGAACGCGTGAACCTATTAGTTCTTATTGCGATAATGTGAAATCAAAAATGTTAGTGTGACCTTGACCTTTGATGTAGGGACATGATTCTTTGACGCGACACATCGTCAATGTAACATTCCTGACACGAAATAAAAGGGGGCGTATAGGCAGACAGACGTAAGGTACGATTTTGATATGCTGCACTTGTGTGGCATAAAAAACGTAGGGTATGTTTAAAGTTACATTGATATTACTTAGAAAATGAAAAGAAACAACAGGATAAGACGAAAAATAAATCATTCATCAATAGAAAGAGAAAACAATGTCAAGAATCATTTTCTTACCGTTCCTAGCATTTTGTAAATGCTGCTGTACGATATGCAGAGCAACCCAAGTTTTGCCGGATCCTGTTTCTGCACAAATAATTGTATTTCTACCAAGAACTGCATTTTCTGCAAGTTCTAATTGATATTCGCGCAATTTAAGTGGAGCTGCGGTGTGCGAAGCCAAAGCTGTAGATATAAAAACACAACACTTATTACCTAATATGATTATAAAAGTTGAAATGTTAATTGATGTGCACACCATTTGCAAATGACTTAAATTAGATTAAAGAACATTTACGTAATCAAACATTTCATGTCATTGATGTACTTTCAACTCAGCATTATTATCATTTTATTTTTTTATGTATTTACAGACAAACATTACGCTAGTGGTATTTTTAGAAAATTTAGTATCAATGGTCTCTTCACACATAACATATTTAATCAATATGGTGATGATGATTGTATTAGATTTAACATAATTTAGCATTTCTAAAACATATATAGAAAGACACATACCCGCAGCCTCAACTTCTGTATTATCATAATCAGATCCCATTGAATCTTCTTCTTCTTCATCATCATCTTCGTCTTCTTCTTCACGGTTGTCTACATCAGCTTTTTGTTCATCAGTCTTTCCAGGTTTGCTACTTTCTCGCTGTAATATCCCTACGGTTTATAAAGATGAAAACAGTAAAATTTATTTTCATAGCATTTGCTTTTGAATAATTCATTGTCACATTTTATTGGGTCTTAAAATAGCAATACACCATTATAAGAACTAGAACTAGAATAGTTGAGCATTCCTTTTAAGATGCGTTTTTTTAAAGAATCATATGAGTCAATATTAAATAGGAATATTCATTATGTGCAAAAGTTTTCTTTATTCTATGCATAAAAGGGACATTCAATATACTAATAAATATTACAATAATGGTACCAAACACGATTACCATCAAATCATCCATAAATAGGGATAAACATCTCCTTGCAATATGCATGTATGTGGAAGGCAATATTGCATTCGTCTATAGTAGCATATACCTTTGCAGTATGCACGCTTTGTGGATGGCGATATTGCATTCGTTTACAGTTACATATACCAAAAAACTACAAAATATACAGCATATTCTTACCAATTGAAAGAGGTTTTGTCACGTCAGGTTTTATATTGAGCTCCTTTAAATTCGTCTCTAAGCTTTCAATTTCGTACTCTGTTGATGACAGCGATGAGTCCTGCCTCATGGTCAGTGATGGAGGTGCTCCTAAGTCATTTGTATCATTGTAACCTTCTCCTCTGTCTTAGTATTATATAATTAATAGTAATAAGTAATTACAAGTGAATAATAATCAATCTGCCATTTCTCTGACAGAATTGTTGTAGTAAAGTCCATACAGTTTCAGAAATATTGTATAATAGAGGATATTAAAAGAGTATAATATTGCTTTATTCAACAAGTTCAATGAATTTAGTATTGAATCTAGACGAATATAATATTCTATTTATCGCATATATAAAAGGAACGGTAAACTGTTAATAATGTCTTTCTGCATTGACGCGCGTATAGTGTAACGCTAAGATAAGTGCGCTTCAACGCTATGTTTATTTATATATATCGCAAATGACGTAACGTCTAAGTGTTATTACACTGGTGTAATATCGTATTTATTCAATGGCTTCATTACACTCCTTTGCCGCAATTTATGTGATAATATGACATAACACTCTGCCATCTCTGATCACATATTACTAAACAAATGAAGCAATATTTTTGGAAAAAATTAACTCAACACTGGTAAAATTCTTTTTCAAAGAGATATGGTATAATATTACTATAAATACGTTAAGAAGACAAACGCCGCCAAGAGTATCCTATCAAATAATACCATACGTTTTCATTCAAATTCAATAACTCTCAGAATTTGCTTGAGAATAGCAAAGAATAGAATAAGCAATTAAAAGGGTTTAATATCTCCTTAATTGCATAAATCACTTTTTATAGTCATATATCACTTTGTAGCCTCATTCGACAGAAATATAAACTATGTCAACAGATAGGATATATTTAACGTGATTATTCAGTAGAATATTTTCTTAATATTCAGTAAATATGACATTTATTTCATTTTTTATATTAATCTTAAAAAATGATAGCGGTCGTTTATATGTATGTACGTGTAAATTGTTATTAACGATGTCATTTCAGTATTATCTTAAAATGATTGTTCCCATTCCATTTATAATCTGTGTATGTTAAATCTTATATTTTGTCCAAATATGTTTTTCTGTCAAAGATTTATGAAAATCATATGATTTACATTCTGCAATCTGTTCAATATAGATTAAAATGATATTTACCTTCAACAAAATGTTCGTGTAATGACCCGCATGCGCCTTGTTCTTCTTCGAATTCGTTGCTTCGACTGTTATTAATGTCTTCTTTCTTATTCGATATGATTGGACCTTTAAAACATTTGACACAAAAGTCTATGGAAATTCCATTTTAATCTGATTATTTTGCGAAGTGACTTTTTAAATTATGAGATAATAAAAGAAAAAACATAAAAGTTATGTTACTTAATTTTGTAAAGTATAATGACTTTTATCATAAGTTGAATATTACCAGTTTTCTTTACATTTGTACGCGGTTTCTGTGAGTTGATTTCAGACAGAAAAAAACAGACATTCTAATTAACAAAAACGCTAAAAATATTGCGTTACAACATTTGCAATAAACATTTATTATCATGATTATCGAACTTTTCGACGAATTATCATTTTTCTTGTTTAAAATCTGTGCATGTTTATAATAATGTTTGTATATTCGTGTATTAAGAATTTATTATAAAAACAGGGTAACGATAATTTCTTATTATCAGAAAATTTAAATGATAGAAAATTAAAACATGTTCCAATACTAAACGGGAAAAACAATAATGACATTTAATAGTATTTGAATATTTTTATTTTCCAGTATTTATTCTTTTTTAATTACGAGACGTGCACTATGAATGGTGTTACCTAGCTTTGGCATAAATGCTGAAGGATTATCGATAAAATCAGGTTCCATTTCTTTCACTATATGCTTGCATTTCTTCTTCATCAGTAAATCTAGGAACTCATAGTACCAATCATTGGGCGATTTTCTACACTGCATTCTATCTAGGAGAAGCATTGTCGAGTATATGTCGCCTTTAGTTTCATATGTTTTTAGGATAATTTCCTCATCAGCCGCATTTATGACACCTCTTGTCTTCAATTCTGACACAAACTCTTGTGCACGTATCATTTGTTCAAGATATGGTGTAAATAAACACAAGATTTTCTGGGCACGTGATGATGAAAATGCGTCATATCTTTTCTGGTATGAAAGTAATTCCTTCAGGTAAGGATATTCTGTGAATGCAAATAATGTTTTGAATTATTGACAAATTATTTCTAAAGTGATTGCAGAATAATTCTTTAAGAGTTTCAAGACAGTAATAAACGCAGGCGTATTTCAATTACTGTTTAATTATTGGTAACTCAATATATCAATTTTTGTCTAGGTATGTTTTTCAGTTAAATGTAATTTCAGTTATAAACTAAGACCAGTTTACCTGCACTTTCAAGGGAATCAACAAATGATCTCCATTTTCCAGGAGCTTCGGAAGTAAACACTGCGTCTAACAACTCTTGGGATGCCTTAACTGACTCTTTGTCTATGTACAGATTCTTTATTCTTGACGCATCCACTAAATTCAGAAATAAATGACATATACATGACTATCTGAATTATTTTTTTTTCATTTGCAAATCTGATGGAAAGGTCTAATAAAATTGATAGGAACATTATGAATTACCCATTTTATATTATCTTTGATATTTATCATTTATCATATATATATATATATATGTAACTTCAGAAAAAGTTTGCCGATGTATTGCCGTGTATAAATAATAAAACTTATTGTGTTTGAAATTAAACTATTTTGCCTTAGTCAAAATAAAATGACGTTTTTGAGGGTGGAAATATTGAAAATATGATGTGAAAACATATTAGTTGCATATAAGGAACAAATGGATGTAAAAGAAACCAGATATCTAGAATACATGCTCCTACAACACACACACTAAGTAAAAACAAGACTTAAACAGTAACGGATGTTACATTTTAGGGTTTTATTTGTCCCTTTGAAATAAAGATACAATATAAAAGTTATATAATTAAAAACAAGAGGGCCATGATGGCCCTGAGGTCGCTCACCTGTATATAGGCCCCCGGAGCGGGGCCAGTTTAAACCCCAGGGCTTTTATTTGAACAAACTTGGAAGACACCCATTAGATGTTTCATGATGTTAAGTTTTACTATACACATATAACAGTGTATAATGAAAAACAATGACCTTCCCCCGGCAGGTCCAATTTAAACCCAAGTGCTTTTATTTGAACAAACTTGGTAGACACCCATAAGAAGATCTAGCTCATTGGATTTTTGAAAAGAAGATATTTTAAGTTTTTACTATATGCATATAGGGAAAATAAATGACCCCCCTGGGGCGGGGGCCAATTTTGACCCCAGGGCTTTTATTTGTACACACTTGGTAGACACTAATTAGAAGATTTTTCATGCCAAATATTTAAGCTCTAGCTCCTTGGGTTTTTAAAAGAAGATATTTAAAGATTTTTCTTTCGGTTGCCATGGCAAACAGAAATCTGCATGGAATTACATTCTTTGAATTTTTTAAGTAAAAGTTTACGGACGGACGACGACGGACGGACGCCGGACGAAAAGCGATCACAAAAGCTCACCCTGTCACTTTTAGACAGGTGAGCTAAAAAGTGGCAGCAGTCATTAGAACCCCCCCCCCCCCAAAAAAAAAAAAAAAAAAAACAACTAAAAAAAAACATTTTGACCTCAACAAAGTCCTTTTTCAAAGTTCTATTCAGTGGAACATCAAATGTTGTAAGTTATTTAGAATAAGTGTTATGCAATCTTTTCAAAATATTTTTTTTTGGTAAATGCCTAAATTCCTTAATTAAGCGATGAGTATTACACAAGTAAACAAAGACATGGATATAAATAAAGATGAATATCTTTTATTATCAATTTGTTCTTCGTCATGTCAAAGCCTCTCATTGTCATTGATTTAACAGAATTGGTTGATATAAATTTTATTACTTTTCGGCGTTAATATCAATTTAATGTTATAATCAGAAGCATGCTTTTGGAAAAGCTATTTAGTTTATAAAAAAAATACCACATCAAAATAAGATTAAGAAAAAATATATAATAAGCCTACCGTCGGTTATGACAGATTCTGCTAAAAGATGAGAAACTATAGATGGATCTTTTAAACATTTCTCAAATTCATGACGATATTCCCGCAACCTTGATTCTATATCTGCCATATCTAATGGCTTTTCTGAAAGTTACGTTATACATTCATTAAAACATATAAGCGATTTAATATCTTTTATCTTTTCAAAATAACCTAATAATAGAAGGGTTATTTGTGGGACCAAAAACAACTTTAAAAGATAACTAAGGATTTAGGTAGTTCTTAATGATATTAATAATAATAATAATAAAGAAAATATTTTCATATTGAAAACCTATAACAAGGGATATCAAAATTCATAATTTATGGAACATTGGTTAAGTTGATTTTCATTTATATTTTTTCGATTTGTTTAAATGGCAAGATAACGTTTGTTAACAAACAAGATCTTTGTTTCTTTTTTAATTTTTAAGGCTAGACATGTGTTCGTTTACAATTCTTCATTGACTAAAGTAATTACAGACGGGAAGAGATATTTAATTAAGACAAGCATGGGATTCTTTGTTTTTGCAATAATTAAAATTTGCCATACTCATTATTACATTTATTCTCATATTACTGGCTATTATATCAGACATTTGATATTCATGACAAAGAAAACATGTTACCTTGTGGTGACTCGAATTCAATGACTGTCGTGGAAGCATCCATATTTCTTGAAACATAATGAAGAGTTACGTGAAAAATAAATTTTACTCATGAACGTGCTCAAACGTTAAACAATCGTATATAATCCGGATTAGATTTTTTATGTATATTTTTTTGTAGAAAAACAGATTGTTTTGTATATCTGATCGCTTTTTGAAACAGCTTCTTAATGTACTGTTTAAGCCATGTTAACAATTGGCAGTTTTAATTTTCATAATAATAGTTGCTGATTTACATATAATCATCCAGTGTTTACTTTCTTTTATAATTTAGAGACAAGAAAAGAACTTCATAGAAAACTTACACATCAGCGTTCACTTCGTCATGTCCGCTGTAACCCTTTTCTTGACAATTGTCCTCTACAAAACGCATATTCATAAAATAGTTAGGATGCATTTTTTATTAAAATAAAATACAATTTTGCTACTTCATTTTTTTTAAAATGTCTTTTAGAAATAGTGAGATCCCACAAAATAATTGACATTGCTTCATGCGAACTTTTCAGACAGGAATAAGACCAATGCATTTATGCATTTATCAAATACACAAATGTATTTATGTCAACGTTAGCTGCACATTCCACAACATACTACATTAACAAAATACTTACTGAAGTTAAGTAAAATGTTTTTCAAGTCATCGGGGGCTATTTTAAATGTTACAAAGAAACGCTCCTTGTATGTTTCCTCTAAGGCTCTGGATAATTCCAGCAGGCGTTGTTCCAACAAGCTACTCTCTAAGTATTCGAGAAGTTTTAGTAGTCCCTCACAGTTATTGCATCTCAATTTGATGAGTATGCATTTGTATTCAACTTCTATAACTTTAACCCCACGACAATTTTCCATATCGGACAAGATAGACCTTAAAGCATTTCCAACTTTTTGTAAGTACCCGTCATCCGCTTTCGCTAAAATAGAATTAAATAACCCAGTAACAGATTCTTCTGTCATCTTTGTTATGTGATCATTTGGTCCTTCCAAAGTTATTTCTGTTCTCAACTCTGAAAAGGAAAATCATATTAACAGAAATTCTAAACAAAGTATTTCTTGAACAAATAGATCGATGCTCCTTTTAATAGCTGAATATTTACAAATAAATCTCCGTAGTCCTACGATGTAACATTTTACAATGCAATGAATGCTTCAAAAGAAGTATCAAAATATGAAGTACCTTGAGATTCAAAGCATTTGTGTTGAGCTTCTCTTTTCTGCATCTGCTGTTTGATTTCTTAAATTCAGAGCAAAGAACATTTTTTTTAAATATCTTTCGTAATACAAATGACATTAATGCAAATTTGCTTGCGGTATTTTAAAGAAGGACTTTTATTGTGAATACCAATGTGAAACTATAAAAATGCCTGCACGTTTCGTTGCTAAATTTCATGTAAAGAATGGATGTGTTTCTGTTGTTATGAATCTAATATTCGATATAAAAAGGCGAATATGCCACTGTAAAAGTCTTTACCTGTCACTTCATTTATTAAGACTTTTACTTTACATGAAATATCTTCCAATTTCGATGAATTACATTCCACTTTAGTTGAGACATCCATCATTTGAGTTGTAGAAGCTCTCACTTTATCTGAAATACCCTTCATTTCAGTTGACATGGTTGCAACACTATCTGAAACGTCTTTCAATTCAGTTGACATTTCCGACAAAAGAGATTCTAGTATAGTACAGACATCTTTGTCGCATTTTCTTAATTCTTCTACTTTATTTATAGCTGAAAGCGTCTCTATAGGACCAGCTGCAGAACTCTTAATAAGGTTCTGACATTTGTCATGAACCATCCGGTCTAATCCAACACACAGTTTCAAAATAACAGCAGCAAGATCTTTCCTGTGCTTGTCATATTCGTCAGCATTTAAGGACATAGATGCTGCATGAGCAATTTTGTTCCTCAAGTCCTTAAGAAATATGATACAATCTTTAAGGTCTTGTGTGATACTGTTATCAAAGAGATGTAGAATCACTGTCGCTAATAGCGATATGTCCCATGTATCAACATCTTGATTTCCGCTAGAACCAAATAATTTCTTAAATGTATACCTGTCCATCTTCATTTTCAGTGTGGTTTCATTAGCCTTCAGTAAATCATCAAGGGGTTTGGAAGCTTTGATTGTTTCCATTTTAAGAGTTTCCTTAAGCACTAGCGTTCCTCCTTCACTAAGAAGAAGTATATATCGCATATATCTCTCGTTGTCTATTGTTGACATCTTTTTTACCTTATAATAAAAAGGATAATTACAAATACCTTTACATGTACATACAATAAGAGCCTCTGAAGGGGAAATAAAAAATACATCATAGTTAAGATCAAGCTGAACAAGATTTTGCACATCTACTACTTGTTTATGTTTTCAATGTTTCGATTTTAGTTGTCATAATTTCATTATGGGTTTGAACAGTACATTACTTGTATTCAAGTGTTTGAAATTATTTAATTGCTCTTTATTGCTCTTGACCACACCAACTATTATCTATTCACCAGCATTATTAATAGGACCATGATGGTCCTAAATTGAAAAGCTTATGTAGGTCATCAACTAAAAAACCATTCTAGTTAACTATTTAAACAATATCTATGTTATCCTTAAGTTTGCAAAGGATCATTTAAAGTAAAATGGTTTGCGTTTTATGAAAACCCTCTTAGTTGTAAAGAAGAAATCTTTAAAAAACTATGTTATATCTGTTATAAGGTTACCATGCATTTTCCAATCAAATATCCAAAGGGTCGAGAACGAACATGTCATTTTTATCCGGTACACATTTCATATCAGATTTACATAAGTTAAATTCTGAACTATCAACGGTAAAGCGACGTTAGAATTCTGATCGATTTGTGGTTTTTAGATCAGAGACAAACGTCTAACTAACGTCATTTATGGAAATTCAAATCATTCCAAACAAAATTTTATCCAGTTAGTTAACAACATTATCGTTTTCAAAATGCAAATAGTTTCTTTCACAAACCAAATCAAATCCATTCATCAATCAAATCATTTAAGACTTTCTGCAAATAAAAGTATAACAGTTATAACCATTGCATTATCATTAGCAATTTGTAAAATACATATTCGAGATATTTTTAGTACCTAAAGGACAGGGTTCGTATAGTGGTAATTTTTTGCAACACATAGATCGTGGGTTCGAGTCCTTCTGGATATCTACTTGAGTCACAACGATATGGACATTGAAATGCCGAGTATTTTGTTTATTGTAAAGTTTCAGATTATTCAGTACAAACCATCCAAATATCGTTGTCTGTCGTTCTTCCCACTTCTTGGGGAGGTGTCGTTTAAAACTGTTCCGTTATACAACTTTATGACAAAACTAACTAGATAATTAGATCTAGTTTATGTTCGTCACTTTTGGGTCGACAAAAGTGAAACTATAAAAAATGAAGACTTTTTGCACAAAAAAAACCCAAAAAAACAAACGCGTTTGGTAACATTTAAAGACTAATCTCAAACTAATGTTGATAGGCCAATTTTAACACGTATTAGTTCTCTAGTATGAATCTTAACACGCATTAGTTCTCTAGTATAAATTTTATGTTTTGATAACTGGTTAAAGTGATGGTTCAGGACATGACATACAACTATCATTTCCAAGATTAAGAAAGTAAAAAGCAGCATATTCAGAGTACCGAATTATAACTTGCACATACTTCCTAAAAAGAGTTCTTTAGCTTTCAACGTGGGCAGGATGGGGTCCTTACCAAGGCAGTGTTAGGTATGTTAAGAATACATGAAGTCTGTAATCAGGGTATGTATTGTAAACTTTACATCTTAAACTTATCATTTTGAAGTATTTCAATCATATTTTTCTCTGTTGAAACAACAAAATGCAATAAAATATGTATTCAATTGCTTTCTTTTGATTTCGAACGGGTAAGAAATACATGGTATGATGTGAATGTTTCAATTCGAAAACCCTTTAGAACTACGACTTGCCATACAAAGCTTTTTAAGACGTTTTTTAAGAGATGATCTTCAGGTGAAATGTGAAATAGAATCAAAGTCACTCTTAGTGTTTACTCAGGCAGAAAAGGAGGCTTTTGCAAACAAGCTTAGTGAAATACCTTTGAGAATAACGGTGTTATAACCTTGTGAGTTTTTTAAATTTCATTTAATGACTTGTCCAAAAAAAGCAACGAAAATACAATATTCGATGATGGTATACCAATGTTTCACTGAAGTGTCACTGAACCAGAAACACAATGTGAGCTTTGTAGTTCAAAAGTCACAAAGGACAAAACAGATAGATGGTATTCTTGTTTCATCGATTTGTCATTTATAAAAAAGAAATAACTATCACAACTCTCAAGGACCTGGACAACTGATGAGAAAGGGTAAGTATTGGCAACAACTAATCGATAGTCATTGGAGCAAGAATAACTGTTTTCACATGTGAGCGCTAGAAAAGAAATATTCATGGTAATGTTTTGGATATCAACCCTCGCCGTTTCCACATAAGGCAATGGTATTGTTTCTAAAATGAAGCAATCATCAAACTCAAGGTGTACGATAATCAAATGGCCATTTTGATAAGCATGATGGAACAGATTAACATGTTATACTTCTTATCATTTTCAGCAGCCATACATATCTTTCAGTGTTTCAGACACAACATCGAAAGGCGTAGACCTTAACCTTAAGGCACGCATTTGATGCACCCAATGGACAAACGCGTTTTTTTCATCACTGAAATCTTAATGACATTTGACTGTTCGCAAGTACAGTAATAAAAAAAACAGGGAAAATCATAAAACGACATAAGTTAGCAAAAAACGCACAGAAGTTTTCCTTATCTTCTACAAACCCGACATCTACATCAAGATCATCAGGTATTGCTTTCAGGGAGTATCAGTAGAAATACCTAAAAATATTGAAAATATTGTGTAACACTCATTTATATTTGGTTTAAATCTGATAATAAAGAGTTGAATACAACTGAAATAGGTTATCCTCAAACTTTCATTCTTATCTTTTTTGTTGTTTTTTGACTGTAAGTCATATGTTTTTGTTCATTCATTTACATATTATTTTGTTACAATTTAAAGAAATGATGTGCAATAAATGTTTTGTACATCTGTTTTGTGAGTTCTAGTATAACATTGTTTGAAATCACCCTTAGCGACAGAAATAAACATTTTCACACTACCTCAAAACTGCAAATTTGTCGCGAAACTGTCAAATTCCAGTCGGTTAAGATAATATATATATATGACAAATTAATCAAATTGTTATATTATATCATGGTGAACATTTTATACAGATTAATTTCTTTTTACTATCAGTTCAAAGAGATACGCTTCGTTAATTTCCTTACTGACCTTGAAATGGCTGGTTCACTATATTTTTTATTAAATTAACCTGAAATTTTTCCTGTAAATGTTCATCACAACTTACAGAGGGATTTAGGAGGAAATGTTGCCTCATACACAACTATTTTGACAGACTACAGAAAAAGGGCGCCATGATTAGGTTAGCAGGAAGGTTTGCAAAAACTAGATTTTTCTGATTTGCTGTGATTAAATTTGCATGAAAAAAAAACCGTTTAAAGGTGTAACAGCCTAAACTTTCAAAAATAAATACTTCGCCATAACTATTTTCGTGGTTTTTACAAATTGACAAACACTTTCGGGAAAGTTAGATAAAATTGTCGGAATCGGGCCTTTGTCTTAATCATGTGCTTTCTCGCCTATAATGCTTATTTCAACTGCAGTATTGCATATAAACTGCACACTCATATATACATCAACGGAAAAGAAAATATGCGAAAATGAATCAAATAAATGATTCGAGCAGCACGTTCTTTTAATATGCGTGATTTAGAACACCATGTAAATGACGGCCCTTAATTGTGATGTCATTATCGAAATATAATTGTCAAATCAAATCAAATCGAAAGTAAAAAATGCATAGAATCGCCGAATCAGGAGTATTATTTTATAGCAGAATACCTTTTATTCGCCTTCTTCCGTGCAGAAACATCTGCAGGAGTCAATGGACATTATTAAATAATCAATTGGCCTAAGGACTCGAGTTTTAAATAAATGCGTTCCTGTGCTTTAACAGAATTCATTTCCATTAAGTGGTAAGTAAATCCTTTATTTTGTCAATTTAGATACATTGTTTGTGAAATGCATATAACACAATGCGATTTTTACAATATCTCTCATGAACAGACTAAATCAAACCGAATGTTCAGTTTTTATGACCCCGCCATATAATGGCTGGAGCATTTAGTGTTACCCTGTTCCGACATACCGTCATTCCGTCCTTCCGTCATTCTGTCATTCCGTCATCATCAGTTTCCGTTCATAATCTTAGTAACGGTTGCACATATTCAACTCAAATTTGGCATATGGATATGACATGAGAAAATACAGGTCAAGGTCGAATTTGGTTATGGTTTGGTGATTTTTGGCAGAGTTATGCCCCTTTCACTTTGAAAAAAAAATGAAATTTTCAGTTTCCATTTATTATCTCCCCAACGATATTACCTATTCAACTCAAACTTGACATATGGATATGTCATGGGAAAATACAGATCAAGCTCGAAAGTTGTCATGGTTCGATGATTTTTAGCAGAATTATGCCCCTTATACTTTGAAAAAAATTATGAAATTTTCAGTTTCTGTTCATTATCGCCCCAACGGTATTACACATTCAACTCAAACCTCACATATGGATACGACAAAGGAATGAGCAGGTCAAGTTTGAATTTGGTCTAGGTCCAATGATTTTTGGCAGAGTTATGACCCTTTCACTTTGAAAATATATGACATTTTCAGTTTCCGTTCATTATCTCCCCAACAGTATTACACATTCAACTCAAATTTGACATATGGATACGTCAAAAGAATGCGCAGGTCAACTTCGAATTTGGTCATGGTTCAATGATTTTTTGCAGAGTTATGTCCCTTTCACTTTGAAAATAATATGAAATTTTTAGTTTCCGTTCATTATCTCATCTAGGGTATTACACATTCAACTCAAATTTGACATATGAATATGTCAAAGAAAAGCGCAGGTCAGCTTCGAATTTTGTTATGGTTTGATGATTTTTGGCAGAGTTATGCCCCTTTAACTTAGAAAAAAGGGAAATTTTCAGTACACATTCAATATCTCCCCAACAGTTGTACATATTCAACTCAAATTAAAGATATGGATATGTCATAAGAATGCATTGGTCAATTTCGAATTTGGTGATGGTT